TGTGTGCATCCACCATTTTTGGTACGAGCCACCAGGAGATGACCTTTCGTAATATACACTGTCGGTCACCGTGCTGCTTTGTGGGCATGGCGTCCATCCGTACAAAAGGCTCCCTCCCGCTCGGTTCTCTCACGCCGGTGGCCGATAGAATGAGATTCAGTATCACACTACTCAGCCAAACAGGCAAGCACCACATCAATATGTACAAGAGAGTGTACCCTTACCCAATAAGGAGAATACAACAGTGACCAGTACGCCCCAACAGACGCATTCGCCATGAAGTTAAAATCCTCGGGCGATATTGTACCTTCCCGTAGAATCGGTCTACCATTAACTAAAAATAAAAGCTTACAAAATCTGAAAAAAACTATTTTCCTGGAGAAACGCTATTCATGAGGCTGGTGAAATCTCTTTGACACTGCATGAGCGGTTTCACCGTTCTTGGGACTCCTCAGGTAAACACAGTCCTTAAGTCTCCACTTGAACTCAAGAAAGATTTAGTTTGTCACGCATTACATAACCTGATGAAATACACATTTGTAGAGTTTTCGCCGTTGCTAAAGCCAGTGACTGTAAGTATTGAGAAAAAAACATTAACCGTTGAAGACATTTCGGACGCTATCCCTCGGTGAAAAATATGCACTTTGACTTACCCTCACTCTGCTTTCAGAGAGATCCGTCCATGTGGCAATTTCTTCACGCAGGTTCATATCCGGGTAGCGGTTGCGTGCAAACGTAGCTTCCAGTTCCTGCAGCTGCTGGCTTGTGAAATGCGTTCTTTGACGTCTTTGACGTTTGTTAGCTGTGCCACGACTAAAAGAGGCGGTGAGGTTGTTCTCTGGCTTGACGGCTTTGCCCGCCTGCTGCTTGACTTTCGGGCAGCAGTTGCCTGCACCGGTATTGTTTGTTTTTGATGCCTTTGTGCACTTTTGGGGGTTGACAAATGAGCTGGGTGCAAAGTTAGTTGGCACAGAAACTCCATCCTTAGGAAGAAAAGACCGGGTGAAGTGCTTCTTTTGCCCATTCACAGGTAAGTCACAACTGTCTCTCTCACTCGTCATCTTCTCAAAAACGTCCCACTCTGCAACTCCATCCTTAGGAAGAAAAGACCGGGTGAAGTGCTTCTTTTGCCCATTCACAGGTAAGTCACAACTGTCTCTCTCACTCGTCATCTTCTCAAAAACGTCGGTGCCCACTCTGCCCTTTTCGGTGCAATCGCCGTAACAGGTACTTGACCTTCTCATCGTCGGGTTCCTTGGAGGTTGTACCGTACTACTGGTAAAGTCCATAACGTTCGTTAGCGTGGAATCGGAAGTTGTTACGGGAAATCTTCTGGGAAGTCCAGAGGGGGCACAATAGTCAAGCTGATAGAGCGGGTTATAGCCCGATCCACCGTAGTCGTTAGTCATGAATAGACGAGGTTTCACTAGTATGGCCGGGTTGGAAGGTTGAGTTTGTGATGTCATGTATGACTTCTAGTCTGAAACCGAGAGCGAGATTAGAGTAATGAGGATGAAATATTACAAACAATGTGGCCACTGGTATTATCTTTCTCAGAGTTGTTACAATACTCAGCAAAATTCTAACTGGTGTCCGACGATACTGTCTGTTGAAGAATGTCTCTAAGACCTGTCAGGCCGTTCCATCAGTCATTGAACGATTGAACAAATTTTGGATAACAAATGTTTGCAAAAATTGGCGTCTCCATTACATTTCATCTGCATCTGGATGAATTTTGTGAAAAGTAGCGTATGTAGTTCCACTAACAAGAAGTCATTCCTACAAAACTTCCAAGCTTAGGTGGTTGATATCATTCTTGCGAAAATTTATTCACTCAGAACCTATGGCGTCCTTCCAAAGTGAGTAACGCCTTTATATTTTTGCTCATGGTGATAATCGATCCTGAGGGCTGATGAACTGCCTGGAAAGCGTTCTCGTTTATTCTGCTAAAGTAACTCTATCCAACATGCAGGGTATTCCCCCAAAGGAAACCACTTCTGTAGTTGTAACTCCTAAGTAGCCGCACTTTCGGAAGTAAATTTCAGTAAATCTCTCTATGAGTTTAAAAGCTGAGTTAAGGGGGTACTGTATATTGCCTTTCTTCTCAGCTGCGGAGACATTTTAGATCGTACGGCCGACAAGAAGCAGCCGACCCGTGAGCACTACAAAGCTATGAATGTTAACTTGTCGACCGATGTCATGATCTATTATGGTACAACCAATATCGTCAAAAACAGTACAGCCGACTGTAACTTGAACTATATTCATATTACCTCCGCCGATGAGTAGGCTATTGCTCCATTATATGTGGGTACAAGCAAACATCCATCCAAGTCGCGCCACGTTCTAGCTAAACAGTGATCCTATAAGTATCCTCAGTATGCCCGGGAGTTCGAATGATTACTTTACGAATGATGCCTGAAAGGTTTCCAATCTAGAATAGCTTCACTTACGATGAATTTTTGTGTCACTACAATTGAGAACGCGAGTGCCAAAAGTGCTGATCCAGAATTCACAATGAACTGGCTCAAACCAAAACTTAAGGAACCTTTATGAAGAAATTTTTTATAAATCGTTGCAAACTAGAAGAACTTGCAGGAGTTCCATTTGTGCATATTGATTCGCAAACTATTATTTAACCCTGCGTGCGTACACCTTTACATTCAAGTACAAAAACTATCTGAGGGACTTCGGGGACTAAGTCAACCTGATGAGCCTCCAAAAAGGACGAACCCGGAAGTAGGCTCTTCCGTAAAATTTCAGCAACCTTGTGAGTAGCATGTGAATCCGTCTAACCTTATGGAGATGCATGTTCACAAGTTCAACAGTTCAAGAGTAATTTTGTTATCTCAGTTCTGCTGTGATTTGGTCGCCAGTTTGATGGTTTGTCCACTAATAACCTATCAAACCAAGTGAGTCTACTGAGCCAGTTCAATCCCTTTTCTTCCAATGATAGAGATAGCACATTGGATTGAACTGATCCAGATATTCCTCACGAAACCGTAAATAAATTCTGAGTTCGATTACTGAGCGTGCTTCTGATGCTGATGCTGCTATTTCGAGAGAATCAGAGGAAATCGAGTGCACCTAAAACCTCGTGGTGTCTGCACCATTACACTAGCTTTTTTGCATGTATATGTAAGTTTCCACAACCTATTTGTGGTGGCTAATGAGATTTCAGAGCCTCCCTGCTGTTATTGTCACATTGAGTGAATGACAGGTTTTTGATGTTCCATTTGTATCTGCAGTCACTAGTATAACCAGGCTTGTTCGAAACAACACATCCTGTGCAAAATGGAACAAAAGGAACGTTGTCGTTTTTCATCTAGTTTGGGCATCAGGTAGACATAAAACCAATGCCTATCTTGGTCCCACCATTTTCTCCTCGGAAAAGTGTCGTGTTGCTGGAACCGCATCTCAGTTCTGAAAAGAATCAATTCAGTCGGTATCTGGGCAACGCGATTCAGTATTTGAAACACAATCCCTGTTCCCTCAGTTTTAGCATGAGGATGATCAAATTCTTTGCTGACCATGAAGCTGATGTTCCAAACATATCGATTACTGCAAGGAAAATGCACATAAATCTGCAGTTAGTGAAGCCTGCAGAACTTGAACTGGATGTCTGTGTTGAAATTTTACCCGATTGTGTAAACCGCAAACGTGTAATCGACCTTCAAGTCAACCTTCGAATGTAGTTCGTAGCAAAACTCCTACCATTCGTCTTCCACTAGCTAATATGAGTGATTAGCGGCTGCATTGTGATCTACGCCTGATCAGTCTAGTTTTTACCAATGATGTGTACCAAAATGGACGATGTACGGTATTCGGGGTCGGGAATGCTGACCGACTATAGTACGCTTGACCGTAAGTTCAGAGCTGAAAGGGTTCACCTCTCCATAGGAAGCGCACTAAATGATTAGTGGCCTTTGTGAAGTTTCTGGCAGATAGTGTCGTTTTTCTTCTGTCACTGGGACACAAAACGATACGAAGATAAAGCCTACCTGCAAGTGAATACCCACTGTAGGTGCTTATATTGCTTTTTTGCTAACAGCATATTTAACTGATATTCGCCAACTCTTTTTAATCTCTAATAACGTAGATGGCAATAAAATTATAATAATAACGTTGTGAATAAGTAGGAGGTCTTGAGTTTAACCGCTACAAATCTTGAAGTGTACTTCCAAAACCCAATAATGCCAGCGGTTTACAGGGTTTAAGATTAACACCTGTTAGACTGTCAGTGATTCTAGGCATCACTCAGTGTTCACGGCCCTTGAAGATGCGTCAAGACTTATACCTAATTCAGATAATCGAATTTTAGAGCAATTTAAACTGCATTGTAGTTTCGAGTATAATAATTTCATGGTTTTTCCAGGGGGGTGGTGTGATGAGATGCACAACCACTATGTACAAACAAAAATAGCAAAAAATGCATGCAAGTGTAATTATGAAGAATTTTCTTGACTCAGCTAAGTTTGCTGTTTCTATTTCATCTGCAGATAATAGTACCGATAATAACAATAATCCAATTACGATAATTCACCAATGAGCGTATGTTTTTATGTGCAAGTACACTTATTCACATGGAGTCAACATTTGAAAACATCTGTTACACAACTACCGCGGACGGAATCAACAAATACCCGCATTTATTGTCAGAAAGCGAAAGAATCGCCGGATAAGAACACGAAATCCCACTAAACTTACTCGTTTCAGTGGAAGATAACACAGCTAGCTTGAGCTTAATCCACACCGAATCCGGCAATGTATGGGTAGCAGGAACAGCAACCGAGATAGAACAAGTGTGTTTGTGGAGGCTTAATCAGTGTCTGCCTTCTGTATTCACAGGATCTCAACGCTGGAAAGCCGCTCAAGCCCTCCTTGTTAATTCACTGTGCTCCACGATGTTCCTTCAAGTTTGTAACTTTGGCGAGAAATCCGGGATTTGAGCGTACGGATTAGGCTCGTAATCTAACAGTGGCGGCTGTTACTGCCACAGCGCTTAGGCTTGGCAAGGTTCAATTTGTGTCAGTTGTTAAGCTCCCAGGCGTTAACGCTATATCCCATCACCTAACGAATTCGCCTGATTGGGCTTTGTTATCCCCTGTCCCCACATAGGACCGTGTGCACGTGCGTGTATTTGTTTGTGCGCATGCCCATACTTCATGCTGAACCAACAAGCTGGGAGAAAATTAGATCGAATCCCGCGCTGTCTTAATCCCCGATTTGAGGAAGGGAAGGCGATTTTGATCATCCTGCATCAACTAATGTGAGGGTGATGGTGATCGTTTTGGTTGTCCACTTGAATGGAACAGCCTGTTAGAAGAGGCAGAGGCATCTCCGTTCCCTCTGTGATGGAAGAGTGACAGGCAGCATGCTGTGCAAGTTTCCTTCCCTCATGCGATTCGCGTGGCGCGTAGCAGATTTATGCTGTCCAATGGGGGAACACTGGAGGAAAAAAAGGAGTCTAACAGACAGCATAGGAACACTGTATATCGCAGTGAATTTCAAATACGGAAGTTTTCACAAAAGAATGGAACAAAACGTTGTTCACGAAAGCAGAACCTCACTCTCCTCTAAAAGCTTACTATGAATGTGACTTCTAGGACAGTACAAAATAAAGATTAGAAACCATATTCACGCAAGTCAGCTCAGTCGCGTATTTAGCTGCGTGACCGAAATGCAGTTTGGCTGTGTAACTTAAGGATCTGGTAATATCCCAAGTAGTATGAAATACCTTGCTAATTAAAGCTACCAAGTGAGGTGCAACTTGGCTTATGATAATAATGTCTGATCAGGAAGGCAATATAGAGGAGGATGGATGCCATCCTCTGCAATGTAAAGATAAGCTGGAGCTCTAATAGTAACGACAGGCTTTTGGAATACCGTATGAGTTTGTGCAGCTGGTATAATTAGGTTCTGAACAGTTCGGAAACCGCCGACTCATTGGCTTGCCTTTCGAACATACGTTGCTCAAATTTGCCACACGGTCTTAGCAAGTTTTTTATGCAGTTTCCTACAACTAGTTCGTAGACTGTCTTCAGGGTACAAATTTTTTTCAGAAAAGCAAATATTTCCGTGCCAATTTTAAGATTGATGAAAAATCTGGATGGCCAACTTTAGGTTTCGCCCTTCGTTATTGACTAGGCCAGTAGCTATACTGCCTAATTAAACGTCAAACTCATATCAACTCTTATTTGCAAAGCATTTTGGTACTGATCGAAGACTCTGCAGAATTTTACTTGAATCTGTCCTTTGGTGTGGTCTTCACCTGAGTATGCTTAAGAAGGCCACCTCAAGTTTCACTTAGAACGATAATCAGGAAGTCAGAGTGTGAATCAATCATAAGGAAGGGGCTTGGTCCTACATGCTGGGTATCAAGAAAGGTGAAACATATGATCAGCTGCCCGGGATTTTTATGAACTCCATCAGTAGTACTAAATAGCGTCCCATCAGAGAGTTTTTG